TAATGTCATCATTGAGATTGGCACAATGTCAAGCAAAGAAGTCTTTTACGGCACACTCAGCTGTATTGCGTTATCGATCATCCTATTTTCACAAGGAGCTGGCTAAAACCGTTGTAAATGAGAATCGCATTAAGACTTATAATGATGCCTGATATTTCCGTCGATATCTTCGAAATAATTATAAAGTAGGTGATTTTTTGTCATTATACATTAAATATATTTAAAGTATAACAATAACATCATCGTCTTGTAGGTATATATACGGAGGAGTTGTTAACTTAGAAAGTGTGGATAGTAGATTCATTTTTGATTTAATGTTATCTTCCGACGAGCTCGAGTTTAAAGAATTATCCGAGAAATTGGAAACTTACCTCATCGAAGACAGAGCCTCTTGGCTACGCACACATTTTTCTTTTATCCACCAGTCGGTTTTCAATAGAACCGGTCACTTCAAAAGCCTAGAAAATTTTTGTAACAACATTATAGTAAAATATCCAAATCTCATTTTCGATTCTAGTGATTTCACTCTAATTAAGGAACAGGCATTGGTTTCTCTTCTTAAGAGAGATGATTTACAAATGGAAGAAATAAAGATTTGGGATAATGGGGAATAGGACAAAATCAAGCTTTACCTTTGAAACTCGAAGAATGGTCAAAAGAAAAATTTATGAGCCTAAGGACCACTCTTCAAGGATGTTTGCCATATATTCGTTATTTTCAACTTTCCGGTAAAGACATTGTTAATAAATTAGAACCCTATAAACAGATCTTGGAAAAGCAACTTTGGCGTGATATAATAGGTAACAAACTTGATCCAGAAAAACAAATCACATCAGTCATTTTGCCTCCGAGAACGGTAGCCATACCAGAGTTACCAAAGAGAATGGATGAACCTTTCTCGGCCATCATAGACAAAGATCAGGCGGCAGAAATTTTGTCATGGATCGATCCCGAATCATGTATTCCGTGTGAATTTCAATTAATACTAAGAGGAAGTCGTTATGGATTTAATTTTCAAACTTTTCAGGGCATGATTCTAGGTCATGAACGCACGGTGATCATTTTAAAGGTGGAAGGAACTAATGAAATTCTTGGTGGATA